GTCATCTGGGGAGTACAAAGTAATACCGTTATCTGGGTAGTACAAAGTAGTACCGCCATCTGGGGAGTACAAAGTAATACCGTCATCTAGGGAGTACAAAGTAATACCGTTATCTGGGGAGTACAAAGTAATACCGCCATCTGGGGAGTACAAAGTAATACCGCCATCTGGGGAGTACAAAGTAATACCGCCAACTGGGGAGTATAAAGTAATACCGCCATCTGGGGAGTACAAAGTAATATCGTCATCTGGGGAGTACAAAGTAATACCGTCATCTGGGGAGTACAAAGTAATACCGTTATCTGGGGAGTACAAAGTAACATTGTTATCTAGGGAGTACAAAATAATAAAATTATTTGGGGAGTACAAAGTAATACCGCCATCTGGTGAGTACAAAGTAATACCGCCATCTGAGGAGTACAAAATAATAAAATTATCTGGGGAGTACAAAGTAATACCGTCATCTGGGGAGTACAAAGTAATACCGTCATCTGGGGAGTACAAAGTAATACCGTTATCTGGGTAGTACAAAGTAGTACCGCCATCTGGGGAGTACAAAGTAATACCGTTATCTGGGGAGAACAAAGTAATACCGTTATCTGGGGAGTACAAAATAATGCCGTTATATTTCTCTTCTTGGCCAACGCCTTCATAATCTGATTCTTTATTACAATCAGACCAGACTTGCGGTTTTCGTCAAACTATTCCGCAAGGTCTGTTTCCAGTTCCAGAAACCAGTTTTTCGTCAACTTATCGTTTCACAGATAGTATCAAAGTTATGAAGGAAAATATTAAGTTACTTTCTTTGTTTGTTCATTGTAAAGCACAAGCTATCCAATGGGCTATCTCTTCTCTGCCCACCTAGGGTATCAAAACCTGATTTTAAGTGTTATAAGCCTACTGAGTTATCAATGAACCACCAATGGGCTATCTCTTCTCTGCCCACCTAGGGTATCAAAACCTAATTTTAAGTGTTATAAGCCTACTGAGTTATCAATGAACCACCAAGCTCTACAAAAATCATTCATTTAATGGTTGATCGTACGAAAATTTCACACGTATGATAATATAAACATAGATATTTCAGCAAACGAATCAGATGACTAAGGACTAGTTATATCTACGGTTGCTTTCAAGATATTAGATATTGTTAAACTTTCTAAACGTATAAGACTATGTAACTAATAGTCTTATTTTAAAAAAAACAATAAATACTTAATTTATATACTAATTTTATAAATATTTTCATACAACTAAAACTATGTTATCTGTGAAAATTGTCTTTCACCAAGCATAAATACACATGAACATTTTTAAAATGAAATTATCAACATATCATCAATTCAATCCTATATCTAGACACATAGAAGCCGGTCCCCAACTCTGGTTTCAATCCGTCATAGGTTAACCCCCAGCTAACATCTGGTACCCATTATAGAGAGGTGTAAACTGAAACAATTGGGATAAGTTATGTTGCTCAAGAACACAACAACATGTCCGGGCAAGTCTCGAACTCGGAACCTTCCGACTACGAGTCCAAACTACTAATCATTGGCCACAGTGAACCTTCATCTATACATATGTATAAATACAGATGTGTATATATACACTGCTTAAACACGATTGATATAGAGCGTTCATTAAAAGTAAATAAAACGTTCTTAATATATATTTATGTAAGATTTGTGTCATTTTAGATAAATTTGGACAGTGATGATAGAGCTCTGGCTTTCGGAGCTGGTTTCGAATCCGTGCGATACAACAAAATACCCGCTCTGGTTGGTTTCGTGTAGGTCATTTCCTTACGAAAAACCGAACCCAAAATTATGGTCGGCTCTAGATATGTCAGATGTAGTTATAACATGCTCTCCTTTTCTTTGGCTTCTTAGAACGTCTAAAAATTGGTATATACATTTCGTTTGTAATTGTATCTTCGGATTTGGCTTTGCTGCCACCTGGTGAGTTAACAAACTATAAAATACACTCTAGGAACTCTTTGTGATGTTGGCTTTGCTGCCACCTGGTGAGTTAACAAACTATAAAATACACTCTAGGAACTCTCTGTAATGTTGGCTTTGCTGCTACCTGGTGAGTTAACAAACTATAAA